GGGGGGGGGTCGTCATTGCTATACTCACCGTCGCCGTCACCGCTCATCCTGAAAACGAACCCCGTCCACCGGTGTGCTTCTCTGTGACTCTCCCTGTGACGAAGCAGTACCCCCGCCCGCCCCGCCACCGTCCCACATTGACAGGTGGTGCGTCGCTCGAGTGGTCCCGTCGCGTCAAGCACTGCCAGCGCCACGTGAGGTGTGTCGTGAGTCCCCCAATGGGCAATAGGCGGGGCGTGGCGGGGCGGAGGGGGTGGAGAACCACTACGCCTATCTTGACCCTGAGGAGGCAGATGCCCTCTCTTTGTCCTTCGCTCTGTCTAAACCTATACTACTTCAATTTCGATTTCTTCCTGTTTGTTGCAGGTCGGCTCCACGGCCGGCCGTGTCTCCGCCCGCGGCTCCCGCGCTGCCCGCCAGCCTCGGCGCCAGCCTCCACGACGGGCTGGTGCCGGACCCCACGGCGGCGTGCCGACGCCCGCTGGTGCGCCTGCTCGCGCTGTGCCGCCGTCAGCCCGCGCTGCTGCAGAAGGTGTCGCGGGGCGTGGTGCTGGCCACCGCCGAGTGCCAGCACCAGTTCGCCGGCCGGCGATGGAACTGCACCGCGGCGCGCCGCTCCCTCGGCAAGATCCTCCAGCGAGGTGAGGAGCAGGGCGTCGGGCAGGTGGCGCGCTTCCGGCTACGCCCCGGATGTGGAAGTATGGGGAGGGCGTCGTCAAACAGCCGCATCCTGCGCCGCTGCGGGCGCCGTGCTAGAGAGCTGGGGCCCCGCCAGGCCCGGCAAGCCGCACGTCCCCAGTCGCTTCGGTGTGCAGCTGCAGCTGCGCCGCCGAGGGAAGGACCGCGAGCCGACGGAGGACCCCGACGGCGCGGCGTACAAATCGGCCGGCTTGCAGCTGCAGCTGCACCGACTGGGAAAAGAAAACATTGACGACTATTGTACCTCTTGTCCGGAACATCGCGGACAATTATGCTGTCTCGTCCTCCTCTTTTTTTCTTATTTTTTTTACGAGCGCTTTGATTTGTGCCACGGTGCGCCGCGGCGCGGCCCGGCCAATGGGGTACCCGCGCTCGGCGCGCGCCGGCCAATGGGCGCGCGCGGCCCGGCCGGGTGGCTTATGGGGCCCGCGGTGATTGGCTGCGAGTGAGTACGTCCGGGTCCGGCCGGCTCAGCGTCTCTGCGGTCCGGCCGACGGGATTGAGACGTGTTTGGCTCAGGTAGCGGCGCTTATCTGAGCTGATCGGGCTGCTCACTGCTGCCGGCAGGCTGCCGGTGCCGGGCCCCCGCCGTGAGGGCGCTGACACCTGCCCGAGGACCTCCCACCTGTCGTGTGGCTACCTGGCCCGGGGCCCTGGCCCGCGGCCTGCACGGCCACCGTGCGCGTGACTCAATGGGTGACGGCGCTGGCTGGCGCTGGCCCCCGAGTGTCGGAGGGACCGACAGAGCCATTAAGGTTATGACACCTGCCGGCGGGGGTCCGGCCCCTGCTGCAGGACCGTCTCCGAGGGGCCAGGGGCGCGCGCGCGACCCCCAGCGCGGGTGCGGGCACGGCGGAGACCACGCCGGCGTTGCCGAGCCGGCCTTGACGCGTACCTTGTTTGTTTGGCGCCTACCCTAAGGTCCGGCGCAAGGCTGGCAACACCGGGCGACACTGAATGTCTGCGAGTCAAGTGGCCTCCGTGCCGTGCCGAGCCATGGCTGCGCTGAGCTTGGCTGCGCTGAGCACACAGAGCGCGGCTGTGTTTGATCGGATACATCGCATCGGCAAGATCAAGGCCGGGCTTAACCTGACCTGCGCACTGCCGGCCCGGCCGGCCCGGCCCGCCCGGGGAGTCGCGCTCGCCGCGTGGGAGTCGCCCTTTGGGAACCTGCATGCGGGTCCAGTCGATGAAGCGAGATATTGATTTATCTGATCTGGTGTGTGCGTCCTGCTGCTGCACTCGATGCAAGACTAAGCTAACTGTGTACGCAGTAATTTGGCGAGTTCGGTGGATTAATTGAATTATTGGTGTGATTCGATTGGGGGAGTAATTAATTGATTGGACGCAAGGGCTGACGGACGCACGGCGAGGCCAGACTCTGTTGCGGTGGCGGCCGTCTCCAGGAGACACACATTTTCATTACACGTTATCAGCTTATATGGAACTGGTACCCGTTGGTACCCGCCGCGGCTACCCGTTCGAGACAGGCCATGGAAATTGTTACTCCCCGGCGCATAAAAGTCCCCCTCGCCCCCTTCCCCCCGACTGCGCCGCGCCGCCGCGCCAGCCGCGCTGGGCCGAGCGGTGGCGTAGCGTAGCTCGCAGGGAGCGTGCTGGGAGGCCCCCGGGGACGCACGGGGGACCCACGGGAGCACCCGTCCGGCCGGGAGGCTGGCAGAGGCGGAGGCGATCGGGGATGAACGGGTGGCGATTCGTTGCGATAAGGCCTTCCAAACGGAGACACCCCTGCCTCGCGTACGGCAGCGGGGACCCACGTCGACTTGTCCGGGCTGTCAGATCATACTGCGTAAACTTAAAACACGAACCCTGTTTTGGAAAACTTTTTAATGATTCGAACGGAGCGTCACGAAAACGAAACTCGTCCGGCCGCCATTCATACTCGACGCAGAAGAGGTCCTTCCCCGCCGGAGAGCGTCACCCGCTCTGGCACTTTGTCGTAGTCCAGTCCCACTTGCAGCTCCCAATTGGCATCCCATTTCTCTCGCCGTCACCGAGATGTTTACGTCCTCCTGTGCCTCGGGACCGCCCCCCTGCAGCTCCCTTATCATGGTCCATCTGAGGCCGGGGGGGAAGCCTGCGACAGCGAGTGGTGTGTGTGTGTGTGTGTGTGTGTGTGTGTGTGTGTGTGTGTGTGTGTGTGTGTGTG